TGTGTGCGCTTTCAATGACACCATCATGAATAAACTACCCGGCCTTTTCCTAATCGGTGACACCCTTTACTTCGGGAACACCACCTATTACTACAGGGCTAACATAAAGGACAAGGTTTGGAAGTTCGACGGCGGGGCTGGCATTGGGAGTCTCTTCACTGATTGTAAGCGTTTTAATGAATCCCTTGACACTACTGTCCATTGAATGACTAACTTCTTAATTATCCAAAAGCGGCCCAATTTTCTGACATCACGAGTGCCCTGGACTTCGGCCCCGCGAAGCAATGCAACAAATTGGAGACCAACTGTGCGCTTATGACCAAAGCTTTCAGCAAGACTTTTGTGGTCGGCCACATGGGAAGTGGTGGCGTCAAACAGTTTGGGTACAAAGCCTACCAGACCGGAGGCGGTGCTCTCACCCCCGTGACCGACGTGAACGACATGCCCTGGAATTTGACGTTAAGCACCGCCATTACGAACACTAATAACAAGTTTTGGCCGATTGGTGACTATAGTGAGTATTTGTTCGCATACGACGGCACAGACCAACGCATGTATGCCTTGACAACGAGACCGTCCATTGTGGGGGAATTCGTTGGGCCCTCCGCCTCGGCCGTCATCACTAAAGCCCCTCTAGTGGGAGGTATAGTGGCTGCTAAATATGGACTGTATTACCGACAAATCGACGGCCAATTTAATTTCACTATAAAAAAAAGCGCAGCGAAAGTATTATGGACTTGTGGTCAGGAATGGCAATGTCTTTGATCGTGTTGTTTGTGATCGCAGTACTCATTGCACTCATTTGTCTCATCTTTTTCTGTGAGTCTTGCACATGAGGACAGCTTTCCGTATCTTATGTCTTATATACCACTCAATGTGTTTCAGGCATGCGATCAAAGAGTGGACAAAAGGAAACGGTTCTCACATCCAAACCGGACTCCAATGTTAAATCAGAATCGCTATCAAAGACGCCGTCGTTGAACTGGACCGGTGTTAGCGCGTCGGCTACTGTTAATCTCTCGTATATGTCTAAACTCTCTGCAATTATTGAGACCAATATTTTTTAGTAAACGCTTATCCAATGAGTAATTAATGAGTCATTTTATACCGAGAATTGAAACTTTGGATAAAAATTCTTCGTATAGTTTTCTTTTCCTAATAATACTTCCCATAAGAATCCTTCGATACGTGTCTCTATCGATGGCCCATAATTTGACGTGATTTCTGGCTTTGACTGTAGCGGCCCGAGGGGTGCCGTATATGAGCGCCAGTTCACCAAAGCTGCCGCCCTCGCCGATGGTTGTCACACAAACGTTGTTCACATATATCTGAAATGGGAACAAGTGTCGCACCGGTGAGTGAATGGGAGGCAGTGTGGCAGTGGTGGTGAGGGTGTACTCACTTCGACCTCTCCCTCGTCGATCACATAGAAGTTGTCGCCCTCATCGCCCTGTTTGATGATCACTTCGCCCGGATTGTGCACCACAGCGAACATTGCATCGAATATATCACTTCTTTGGTTATCATCCAAATGCTTAAATAACACTATTTTGGACATAACTTTCTCGAGTGATGCCCGAGCCTTGTCATCCTTAGGCACAACCTGTCCATCAATTTTGCCAATTATTATGTCATCCGTCATATCAACCATTCACTCAAATATACCTTTTTTACGTAATTTTTCACATCGTCTTCATTGTAAGTTTCAGCAGAAACACCACCCCTTCGGATGCGTTGAGTGTTGGATGGGATGGGAACGGGAGACAAGTCATCGTCGCGTTCGTTGTCCGGAGAAATGGGAGCTTTTTGTTTGGCTTTTACTGCTTCTTCCTATTGACACAAACATCACTTACGGTTATATTAGTCTTATTATCGGTCTATACTATACTATATATCTCACACATCAACACCTATTAACATCGGAATCTATTTTATGACACATTCTCTCATAACAGCAAACATTAATTGACTTAAAAATAAAATGAAATAAAACTCAAGAATATTTTAAATAACTGGTGTTTTAAATAACATTTATCAACAATCAATACAATCGCTGTCAGTATATTGAGTGAAAATTGCCATCAAAATATTGTAATCATTTTATAAATAAAAACATTTATTTTGTACTTTAATTCCCTTTGAAAACGAATCAATGAATGTGTTCAAAGTTTGTATTATTATTAAATCATAAAATGATATTAATTTGGACGTGAAATGATTATTCACATACAGTATTTGAATATTCATACATTCATACTGTAGTATAAATATTCTTTTAAATAAACGCATTCATAACACTAATCATATACTGTATTACAATTTAACAAATCAGTTAATAGTTATGATTTAACCCATTTCGAGCTTATAGTAGCAAATCAATCGTCTAATCAGTTATATAACTAACAAATTACTTATAAGTTAAATACTGTATAACAAACCCTTTAAATATATTAACTAATTATGCGCTCAAATGTGACCAAAATTGAGTGTTTCACAATGGCTACAAGTTACAGTAACTGTAACTTACATTATATTAAATAGCATTTAATATAATGATGTGTATTGTTTGAAAGAAATAAAGTATAATTTAGGCATTTTTATATCAACCAAATGTTTCAATTGAATTCAACACCAATTCAATGCACACCTAATGGTAAACCGTAAACTCTTAATCAACATTGAGATGACAGTTCATTATTGATTAGACATCTCATCAAGTGATCCACTGCTGCACTGTGTCCAAGTATGTATGAGTGTGTGTGTGATGGTCATCAAGTGACCACACATTGTCTCACCACTCAATTGCATAGAGATGTCAATTGAAAGCATTGACACAATTGACACGATTGGTGACAGTTTTGATGAGCAGTGGTCACAATGAATGGTAATTAAGTGAACGGTCTCTCACTGTGTGTGTGATTGCAATTTGGATGACATTCAATTGGCGTATCACTCAATGGCTATGAGATAATCAATGGTAAGCATGAGAATGGACTCACTTTTTCCAACACTTGGAAGTATTCCCTAAGAAAAGTGATGGGGTTTTCAGGTCTGCCGACGCATAGCTGGACGATACAGTCTTTGAGGATCTGCTGGATGTTGTGTCTCTGGACATAAGCCTCGCACTCGCGAAGAGACTGTTCCTCATCACCAGAATGTGACTGATTTGACGCCATATTTGTTGAGTGAGTCTTCAATGCATACAAAACCATACAAACGATACAACACTTCAATCACTGCTCACAGCATTCATGCAATACTTGCAAATGCTTACACAGACAACGTTACGTCATATAGCGGTCGGGGTTACCGTCAAATACCAATGGAGTTACGTATGATATGATAGCAAAAACACAGGTATAGCTGTCTATAGCTGTACTATAGCTGTACTATAGCTGCGGCACTCAAATGATGGGTTTGGGGGCAAACTTTGGGCACAAATGTGTGCATTGGGTGGAGAATAGTGTGTATGAATGACAGGTACGGTAGTACTGCCAGTACTATAAGCTCTCTCTAATGCAAACTATTTGGTTGATGTGATAAACATTGCCGTCAATTGCAATGACGTCACGAATGACTTACTTTTCATTCAATTTTATGTATTAATCACTTGAATGACAAAAATTTCTCATTTTTTACATTTTTATTGAGAAATAACTCCCAAATTATAATCACATGATTAGAGCTGGCATTTGGGGGTCAAGTGTTTACCCAATGCTCTAATCTGATTGACAAATGCCAATCATATAATAAGCCAAACCGGGCTAATCCTAAAGTTATCCAACTTTTTGAATATAGTATTCAATGATTTTGAAGGCCTTCTCATCACTCACTCATATTAGCATAAAATGTCAATTAATATAATCGCAATTTACACACTATTTCCACTGCAAACACTTTCAGCCAATTCATTATCCATTCAAAAGTTTTATTAAATAAAAATCAGAAATCTTTTTAAATGATAAATATATAATTAATTCATTTTACGTTTGCGTTAATACAAAAAGTTTTTATTATTGTATTTGAGAATAAATTTCACATTAAAAGTGATTTATTTCAAACTAAACCAGAGGTTAGCCTTAGTCTTCATCGTCGATAACAATCAACTCCTCTTTGATGAGGAATTCGACGGTCTCTTCGGTCTCGTCTTCGTTGTTGAGGTCGTCGTCCGCTTCCCTTAACTCTAATCTACGCTTTTTGGTTGAGTTGAACAGCAGTTCATTTCTTTGCCGAATCGTTTGGAAGTCACTCATTAAAGATCTTCGCTTTTCTAACATGTCTTTGGAGACCTTCGAGAGAGCCATTCGGTCTTTGATGTCAAACTGTGCGCTATATTTCTTCAGGTTTTTCCTAATTTCCTTAATCTTATCATCAGTGAGAAGAGTGGCAGGTCTTGGTCTCCACAGCAGTTGACAAAAGCGGTCTAAACTGTGTTTGCGAATGAGTCGTCCCTGGAATGACCACAACCAGTACGCGTTGTCAACCTATACCACAACCAACATGTCATACAATACTGTCCACTATATGCCAACACTGTTATCAATACCTTATGCGCCCAATGGCTGACTCCTGTCACTACGTATCTGCCGGTTGGGTCCCACTCAACATCTGTTATCTGGAAGTGTTCTGATGTATTGGTTATAGTAAAGTCAGAGGTGTCGATGAATTCTAAGACATAGCTACTACTCCTTAGAGAAGCTAATACTATGAACTGTCCGGCGGGCGACCAAAATAAATGATTGCATTGTTTCGATTCAAATTTCTCTGTAGCCGTCAAACATAACATATATATCAGTAAATGCGAGTCAATTAGTCATTAAAATATCAATCAAACAATTCTCACTCAATTGAATGACAGTTCCTCCGGGTTTTATGCCGTAAAAGGTGACGCTATATGAAGACCCCTCGCCATGAATTATCGCAAATTTATTTCCTATCGGTTCCCAACTAAAGGCCACAATTTGATCTATATTTTAGTAAAAATAATCAATTGTTAGGGTAAGTTAGTAAACATGTCATCAATTGGCAAACCTTTAATTTCTAGGCTATCGACAGGTATCTGCTTTTCCCTCATATGGAAGACCTCAAAGTTGTAATACATTCCGCTGTATTTGAATTCAGTCTTCTCTTTCTTAATAGCCTTCGTATACCTGTCCACTTTGACGCACAGGTAGTCGCCGCACTTCTGCCAATGCATCTTACAGTCGGCCACATTGAACAGGTTCTTAGCTCTCAATTCAGTACGCGATGGGATCTCGAGAAGAGTGACCCGCGCCGGCACATTCTGGTCCTCTGCCACCCAATAGGCCAGTATGTTCTGAGAGGGAGACCACGTGAAGCTTCGAATGCCCGCTATTTTCAATGATTTCTTGTCTAACAGTCCAAAAGAGGGCGTCTCGTAAATGCTAAGCGAATCGGCATTAATTCGGGCGAAATATTTGTCATCGAAAGACCACTTAAAGATGGGCCAAATGAGCTGCTGCTGGGGGTCGGCACTGAACCCCCGCTTCTTGGTCTGTGTCCTAATATCCCAGATAATGATGGCATTGGGATCGTTGGCCACAACCAGTGCTTGGCTCAAAGTGGTGATGTACTTCTCGCACGGACTAAAGTCTATGAAAGTGACGCTTTCGTGAGCAAAACGAGCCATTTGTGTGAACTCCTCGCCGCCCCATAAGGCGATCCCCCGCTTATGAAATGTCGCTAAATATGTGCCCAAAGGAGACCATTGCAGGGACTGTTCGGTCCATAACTTGCGTTCTTTGAGAAGAGATGGTTCAGGCATTGAGTTTAGATATACGGCAGTTGTCTCTCCGCCTTCATAGAGAACCGAATACTGATCGCAACACTCGGGCTCTAAAAGCCAGTAATGAAGGTTTCCTCTGTCACTGTACACCTCCTTCGAGGGCTCTTCCATTTCGTCCGGAATATTCAGGTATTTGTCGATATCTGTGAATAAATTCACGGCAAATACATGTTGTTTGTCCAGTTTGTGGCCGTCAAACGACTTCACCGCATCCAACGCCTGTTCGTGTCTCTCAAACTCGAAGAATACATAACTGTATGTAAAGAATATACCGTAATGTTAGACAATATAACCAGACATTCAATGGCATAATATTCACCCTTTGGTCAGATTCTTGTCGTCGATGGGATAGAATTCGTTCATAATTTTGCCGCATTTGGCGAACAATTTGGCCAAAACTGTCTTCAGTTTGTCGGCTCTTTCGGGACCCACTTGTGGGATGCGGTCGACAATCACTACATTCTGGAGACCCGACTGTTCCGTCGGTTTATTCCGTAATAAGTCTGATAAGAGGTCTGAAAAGATAATAAGGATTAATATTGAGATAAAAACTAATTTACTCATAAGATTAACAACAGATCCGGTGATGAGTGAGGAACAGACATGAGTGGCATGAATACCGGCAGTGACTGTGAACTCAATGTACTGTAACTGCAATACTAGTGAACACGTGGATTACCCCTCACTCGCCAACACTTGTGCCAAACATTCAATTCAATGGTTTATGGCTTTCCATTCAAACCATTCATTTGATTCAATCAAACCCATCGACCAATCACTCAAATATATTCAAACATATCATTCAAATGGGATTAAGTGGTGATAAGCGGGCATAAGAGGCAGTATTGTCGGCATAAGTGATGGACAGGATAACGACCCATACCTTCGTCTCTTATGTCGTCGACATAGTCCTCGGGGTCACTGAAGTCGGGCTCGTCGTCGAAACCATTCTCAAGAGCGGTGTTCCTGTCTTTATGACCATTCATGCGGTCATTCTCGACGACAATGAGGTCGTCTTCAGCCATCTTTCAGTGCGGATGAATCGCATGAATGTCACAAACTTTCACAACAATTACGTCTATTAAACACAACTCAACTCAACGCACAACTCATTACCACTTCTCTGCACAACACTTGTCTGTGTCTGTTGTCCAGCAGTGAACACAACTTCACTTTTCCGACACTTTTCTAACGATACCTAAACTCTTAGTTTTATAAATGGTTCATTATTTTATAGAATATTCTGATAGCTCTAGAATATTTCATTACTAGCAAAGAGTTAACAGGATTCCCTTAAATGTGAGCTAGATTATAAATTTATTTGTGTGAGTTACACATAAATTAAAACTGACTAACAAGTAAATTTAAGTACCGGTACTAAATGCAAAAGTCTTAAATAAAATAAAGTTATAGACTGTTAGTTTAAAGTTTACACTACTCATTTAATTTTATATTAGTCAATTTTAATTTCAATACATTTATTTGAATTTTTCATATATTGTACTGTATTTCGACGTGAATTTTAATAAGAAGTAGAGATTTTTCAACTTTATTTGATGAATGTCCAATTCAAATTTTAACAATTTTCGTATAATTCAGTTCAAATTGCTTCAGATGTATATAATATTATACAATAGTTACAATATACTGTAGTTAAATATCATAACATATTATTTTCAACAATTAAATTGTAATTTGATTAATTATTATGATTGATTATATTAAAAATAAATTTCTTATTAGAAGTGACAACATATTGAATGTACAGTAAGTAACATAATCATAAAACATTTGGCTTTAAAATTATAAATTATATAATTAACAACTAGTTTTTCAGTTAAAGATTTATATTATGGCATATTAAATTATATGTTCTTTACAATACAAGTTATGGAATGTAAACTGGAACATTTAAAAAATCAAACTAATGATTGATTACTGTATTTAGAATACTGTATTTAAAACAATTTTAATATTTTATATACAAATAAATTATTTGAAATAATATCAGAAAATAATATTTTTTGAGAATAAAATAATAAGTTTTTTTTGATGAAATTCTCATTGAACCAAATGTAATGTTAAGTTGCAATGAATATAAGGAATAAAATTGTGAGGAATAGATGGATAGGTGAGTATTGATTCATTGATAGGAATGTAAGGTTAGAGTATAGCACCGGGATATTGTTCGCATCATTTGTACGTTTAATAAAATAGTGGTAAGTTATCATCAATGTACATTATGTATATCATGACAAGGAATCATTTTGGTCTACGGCTGCCACATATGACAGAGGACTGGGAGGACTGACCTCTACGTTAGAATAAGTTGTATTGTCGTCAATATAAGTAGATCTGCGAGAATTAGTTGTATCTCTATTTGAATCATTTCTTCTGAACGAAGCGAATGAAAAGTTAGCGAAATATCGCTTCCAAATCCTCCTGAAGTTCAATGAATAGCTGCCATAAACTAAAGGATTGACACAAGAGTTAGAGACGGCAAACATGAAGAGTGTATCCTTTGTTCCGTTGTCCAGCTTTTTGGCCGATTCCGAGTCTATTTGGTATAATAAGACGATAAACACATAGGGAGTCCAACACCACACGAATGCCAATACTATAATGAGTGTCATTCGCAGAGTCCGAGTGCGAGCCCTCTCTATTTGGGTGGCGTCTGAACGCCTCAAATGCATTCGGTTTCGACTGATGTATGAGTTCTGGTACTTATGGTTATGAAGTTGTCCTGATTTCGAGCCACAATAATCACCCAATTTCTGCTTATTATTGCTATTATTGCTCACATCTCGCTTTTTGTCTACAAATTTTATTATACATTAACGACTAAAATATATTCTTCAATCACAAGACATACCCTCTGATGAATTCTTAGACCTGCGATATATTTCCCATAATATTCTGGTATAACAGCATATAATGATGAGAAGGGGTACCACATACAGAGCCATCACACAGAAGGTGTTATAGAAGGTCTCCTTCCAAGACGTCTTGAAGAAGTTAAATGTTACGCACTGCTCAAACTTGGGATAATCCGGGTGAGACTCCACGTGATATATGATGCTCTGTAAAGGTTAAAAAAAGTTTTAATTTTTGTCACATTGCTCTTACTTTTCAAATTGCAATAGTATTGTATAATGAGATTAGCACTATTTCCAATATATAATTTAAGTGATTAATAGTCTAAATCATTAGTAACTAATTAAATATTAAACACACTGTATTACAGATTACATGAATAATATAACATCAAATACAAGAATTTTGTATAATTATTCTATAAAGTGATGTTGCTAATGTAGAATTGTTTGATATTGAATATAGAAAAAATAATTCAACAATTTGAGTAAATTATAATGAATGTTAAATAATTATAATACAAATGATGACAAATGAAAGCAAATGAAATGAAAGAATATGAAGAATAGTGCCAAACCTGAGGGACACTGCAGACAATGCTAATAATCCAGGCAAATGCGAGCATAATTTTGCTCCTGCGATGGGCGTCATTCACTTTCATGGGGTGAATGATAGCAAAGTATCGGTCAAATGAAATGCACACCAAAACCATTGACGACAGGTATGGCCCGAAAGCCCTGAGCGCTTGTAAGAGACGACAGGCAAAGTCGCCGGCGATCCACGACTCGGTGATCCTCCAGCCAACCTCCAGAGGAATCATTATGAATGTGACGATTAGGTCAGCGATGGCTAAATTGAATATTAATAAATTGATTCTTAGTTTGCGATTTCGATTCCTCAATAAAGCCGTGAAAACGGATATATTTCCGGCCGCGGATATGACGAACAGAATGCTGTATATTATGATATCTCGTTTGGAACTGTTCACCACTTCAGATGGTATTTCATGGTACGAGTCATTGAAATTAGACCCATTCATGTTCATGATAGCAGACATTGTCTATCTATTTATCTGTCATTCAATTAAATAAAACCCATTGAATGCAAAGATGGAAGACATCAAGTGGTGACATATCTTTGGCAGACAGTGTGCGCGCACTCCTCCACTCCATTCCACTTCACTTTCATTTGCAGATTCTTTGCGCAAATCTCTACGAGTTTTCTCTTATTTTATAATATCTTATATTTTGTCAGAATATTCTATANCCTGTCGTCTCTTACAAGCGCTCAGGGCTTTCGGGCCATACCTGTCGTCAATGGTTTTGGTGTGCATTTCATTTGACCGATACTTTGCTATCATTCACCCCATGAAAGTGAATGACGCCCATCGCAGAAGCAAAATTATGCTCGCATTTGCCTGGATTATTAGCATTGTCTGCAGTGTCCCTCAGGTTTGGCATTATTCTTCATATTCTTTCATTTCATTTGCTTTCATTTGTCTTCATTTGTATTATAATTATTTAACATTCATTATAATTTACTCAAATTGTTGAATTATTTTTTCTATATTAAATCTCAAACAATTCTACATTAGCAACATCACTTTATAGAATAATTATACAAAATTATTGTATTTGATGTTATATTATTCATGTAATCTGTAATACAGTGTGTTTAATATTTAATTAGTTACTAATGATTTAGACTATTAATCAGTTAAATTATATATTGGAAATAGTGCTAATCTCATTATACAATACTATTCCAGAGCATCATATATCACGTGGAGTCTCACCCGGATTATCCCAAGTTCGAGCAGTGCGTAACATTTAACTTCTTCAAGACGTCTTGGAAGGAGACCTTCTATAACACCTTCTGTGTGATGGCTCTGTATGTGGTACCCCTTCTCATCATTATATGCTGTTATACCAGAATATTAT